AGTATATTTAATCGATTATTTAATCCGTATCTTCTGCAAGTGTTGATGACTATGACCACCACCACCATCAATACGGTGAGAAACGATAGTAGATATTATATAGAAAGATAGTATTATATAGAACGATAGTAGATAGTATATAGAAAGTACAAAATAATTTTAATGACAACATTAAAATTGATAGTAATATTTTTTAAAATAAACTTAACTTCGAACCATCTCGGGTAGAATATTCTAATTTTTAATATAAACGCGAAGAGTCAAGATACATACATCATTGTACATTTCAATTTACGTAGATCATCATTGCTTTCCATATGTTTTTATGAAACACAATAAAGTATCCGAAATATACTTCGTTATTAACGTATTTCAATAATGTATCTCAAATGTGTCATAGCTAGTGCTAATGATGCGCTCTACATTAGTCTAATATACCCGATAAATATTCTAAAAAATTGAAATGGAGATATTATTTGCACAAATAAATAAAAAGTCTCTAAAATGAGACGTAAATTGCACCAACTTACAGACAGTTAACAGAACTGATAAGAAACGCGCTCGCAAAATAATTAAGTCGGTTTTCGTAAGTAAGAAAGTTTGGACTATCGCGAACAAACAAAAGTAAGTGCGCATCGGGACTGTGTTCAAAAGACGTCAGCACATAGGACTGTAAGCGTGCGATTTTTACAGTTTAATTACAACATGCGACCGTCCGCAAGAACATGCAGGCTTGTGCTATTGTTTTTTATATGTATAAACGTTCAGTTTTGTAAAGGTAATTATGTGAATTTATTAAAAAAAAGTTCGGTAGCTTAAATAATAACTCAGTAAGCAAGGAACATTAAATTAACGTTTAGAAACGTTGACTTCATATGCATTGTTTAGAAATTTTTTAATAATATTGCATTTATATTTTTCACATGTTATTGCGATATGATTTTTCTGAATGTTATTTAAACGTTTTAAAAACATTACAAAAAATATATTTTTCAAATGTTAATTTAACATTTATTTTCAATGCAACATCTTAAAAATATTTCTGATGATTAAAACGTTATGGCAACCCTATTTCAACATTATTGAAACTTCCAAATCGCGGTCAAAGTATGTTCATAATGATGTTCGATACAGTATTAAATACTACATATTTGACAATATTACAGGTTCTTGAATATCATTGTAGTAACGTTGTATTAATAATTTCTTGCTTACTGGAAAGGTAATAAAAGATATGAAGTAGGAATCTGTGCGATAAATCTGTCTTTAAAAAAGTTATTCAACCATACAACCGTATAATAGAAGAAACTTAGAGAGGGGGGATTAATATTAATTACCAGTTTTTTCTTTCGAGAAGAAATTCATAGGAACTGTTTAAGTCGAATCATTTTATGTAGGATGTTTGATGATAGCTGAGAAAACACTCGTATATACATGTGGATTAGGTTGAACTGAACAAAATTCTCCTCTACCATTTCGCAAACAACCACGTAAAATATCATGTTATTAATTAACCAAAAGTCTACGTGGTTGTTTGAAAAATGGCAGAGGAGAATTTTGCATTCAATTTGATTTAATCTACATATACGCGCACGTTTTTCCAGCTATCGTCAGACACACTGTATATTTACATTTTGAGGAATTTTGATATAAAGATATATCTCTTATCAATATATGTATGTAAAAAAGTTCTATTGTTGCGTTAAATAGCATATTGGTGGTGGTGGTGGTCGTGGTCATCAACACCAACAGTAGAAGATATGGAAACAACACCACTTATCTCTACCACATCAACAGCTTCGCCGTCCGAGCAATGTTCAACATCAGAAGAATGCGCACGGCAATGCCAAGATGGAGAGTCACCGAAACTGTGTTGTTATCAATTTATTGTCGAATATTACACGACAAATGGCAAGTATGTACCTATAAATCGCATAATTAAATTTGTAATAAAAATAAAGAGAATCTTTTTGCGCGAAAAGTTTCAATTAAGAAAAAATTCACTTCAAGTTGACCAAAATTAGATAAAACTCGTTACGTCTCTTGGTGAATGTAGTATAAAGGTGATCTTTATCTTTAGTACATGTCAGTTGTAAAGAAATTTTAAGCCCGAAAATATTTGTTTATTAGACCTCTTTGTTTCAGAGCATGCGATTTTTGTCAACCACCGGTGAATGACTCGAGGATAAACTCACAGTGTCAATGTATCATAAGTGATGGATTTGAGAAAACGGTATTTTCTATCAATCGTATGATACCAGGCCCGAGTATTCAGGTATGGATTCGCTTCAAAATGATAATAGCAACACATCGATGCAAAATTCGACAATGCAAAGTTCCTTTTTCTTTCAATATTAGGCATACAAAGTGTCCCACTCATATCACACTATTTTTCAATGATATCCTTTGACAAAATTGGATTATACTAGTAGTAGTAGTAATTTATTTACCATTCAGCTACAGCCAAGAAGAGGACTTGGTTTACAAAATAAAAACTTATCACCATCCACACATCCACTCATCCATTCATACTTTACATACTTTGCCTTTTCTTTAATTATTCTTCTTCGCTTAAACCTACACTTAGCTTACATTTATCCTACCTTCATACTTACTTCCTTCATATTTACCTTCATACTTTCTACATCACACTAACTCCTCTCCTCCTCTGTTTCTTCTCTGAAACTTTCCTAACCTTTCCTTTTATTACCCATTTTATACACTATTATATCGTTAAATCGCTTTATCGTTTTTATACATTTTATACATTTATACCTTTTATATTTCTGACAAAATTGGATTATAATAATATTTATAATAATACTAGAGAGAGAGAGGGAGAGAGAGGGAGAGAGGGAGAGAGAGAGAGAGAGAGAGAGAGAGAGAGAGAGAGAGAGAATGAAAGAGAGAGAGAGTTTATAATTTTTTAATTATATATCACACTGAAATAGAGGGACTTTTGGCGAATTATATCTTCAGACACATAAATAACTAAGAAAATTATATTCTTTAAGTCAATTTTTTAAAACATAGATGTGAAGATTCACGTAATATTGTAATAAAACTTCGAAAATTGTAGGAAACGATTACTTCCCGTAACATTTTCACAAACAAAAAGTTACTCCAATTGTGATTGTCATTCATTCCTTTTCTAATAATGTATCGGAATTCTAAAATTGTTATGTTACAAAAGAGTGATCGTTCATCAGGTTTGCAAGGGCGATACGATCAGAGTCAATGTGAAGAACGACGCCGAGGGTAGTGAGGTTACTATACATTGGCACGGAATATTTCAAAAAGGTTCTCAATATTACGACGGAGTACCCTTCGTAACGCAATGCCCAATTATGTCATCTGAAAGCTTCAGGTAAAATAAAAAATAAGTCAATGTTATTTCTTTTCATATTCGTATAACGTATTATTACCGTATTATTTGCATATATAAGTATGCACATATTATTTGTATATATAAACATTATTTATTTATTTAAATATTTATTCTACACTCATCGCTGAGAGTGCATATACGTTTACTTTTGGGTTATGATATAAGTTTCAAAAAACAAACAACACACACACACGCGCACGCACATACGTATACACACACACACGCACACTTGTTCTCTTCTCTGAAGAAATAAACTGAATGTCACGAAATGTGAACTAAAAGTCCAACCAAACATTTCTTCACACCGCGAAAGTCAATATAGATGTCCAATATATGTGTATTTTTATACTAGTTTTTATGGAGATACTAGAAGAAAGATGACGAACTCGAACAATGTCGATAACGTAGAAACGATCGTCACTATCACGTTATCCTTTTCATATTCTTTGTACACACTCCGCCAAAATAACTTTAACATTTAGTACATATTTAATCGAAAACTACACATGTGCAGAAATTTCTCTGCAAACTTTTCTGATATTCTTAAGTTTCTGAATTCATATGTGAAGATACAGCAATGTTCTTCAAAATTTTTCTATTTGAAGCATCCATACTTTCGGTATGTACGAGCTGCGGAACTTTTGGATAAGGCAAATATTACGCTACTAACATCTTGAGATTTTACATTAAAAATTTTTTTTCGTTTTTGTCACATATTGAGCAATGCTTTTATTTTTTTGCATGTACTTTTATTGCGCAAAAGCATTTGCAATTTTATATAATAAACGTCGATATAATGTAAACTTTGCAGAAAAATGTCAGTATTCTGTCGATAAAGTTTTCAGCTTCAATATTCTCTTAAGAAAACTAAGTTAACAAGTAAACCTACCTAAAAGTTACACTCTGATTTCTTTTTAATTTGGCACAAATGTAGAAGTACAAAAAATATTTAAGTCATATTTTTTCATTTTGACCTACTTTGAGTTTCACGGGCAGTTTATAGCTTTTTAATGTTCTCACTTCTATCATCAACAAGTGCAATAAAAATGCATAAGAAATAAAAATAAATACAAGATATAGGCATTTTTGGTTTGCTGTTTATGAATATAAAGTCAAATGTGTAAAATTATTTGTATAAGTAATAGAATGTTTAAATTTGTATAAATAATAGAATGTGAAAACAAAACATGTAAAAAGTTGAAAAAAATTATTTATATAAATAATTTCTTGGTTTGGCCGAGATTCGAACCATTTTTGACTAATTTAGCACAGATTTAAAATATTTTGATTGGAATCTCGGTTAAAGATATTTAGAATGATTCGTGCCTCAGCTATGCCGATTTTGTTAAAATTTTAATTAAAATTGCCGGATTTCAGTTTGGCCGAAATTCGAACCATTTTTGACTAATTTAGCACAGATTTAAAATATTTTGATTGGAATCTCGGTTAAAGATATTTAGAATGATTCGTGCCTCAGCTATGCCGATTTTGTTAAAATTTTAATTAAAATTGCCGGATTTCAGTTTGGCCGAAATTCGAACCATTTTTGACTAATTTAGCACAGATTTAAAATATTTTGATTGGAATTTCGGCTAAAGAAATTCAGAATGGTTCGTGTCTCAGCTATATCAATGTAAAAATTGTAATTAATATCGCTGGATTTCGGTTTGACCGAGATTCGAGTCATTTTTGACTAATTTAGCACAGACTTAAAATATTTCGATTGAAATCTTGGCTAAAGAAATTTGATTGATTCGTGTCTGAGCTATACCGATTTTGTTAAAATTATTTAACTATATCTTGTATTCAATTTTATTTCTTTTACATTTTTCTTGTACTTGTTGATGATAGGAGTGAGAACATTAAAAAGCTATAAATTGCCCGTGAAACTCAAAATGGACCAAAATGAAAAAAATATGACTTAAATATTTTTTATATTTCTACATTTATGCTAAATTAGAAAAAAATAGGAGTGTACCTTTTAGGTAGATTTACTTATAAGTATCCAATGTGCAGTTTTTCTGTATATCGTACAATTATATCAAATTAGCGCGTCTGTTAATTGCCAGTGTTTATTATTCTTATTAATCTCCTAATGTTAACTCTGTAATTTCCTAATACTTCATTGTTTTCAGTCACTTTCACCAGTATTAATTGTTTGGGATTTCTTTTTATAGATACATATTTCGCGCAGATAATTCGGGTACGCATTTTTATCATTCGCATATAGCGGCGCATATAATAGACGGACAGCATGGATCATTAATCGTCCGTGACCCGCCTTCAAGCAATCCTCATGTTCGTTTATATGACTACGACTTTCCGCAACACGTAGTAATAATCAGCGATTTGTATCATGAACTTACTATGGAACGTTTTCCTGGTCGATACAGATCAAATTCAGGACAAGTTGCACAAAATTTTTTAATCAACGGCAGAGGCGATTGGACGGTGAGAAAGAGATTACAATTTCATCCTACCCTGATCACGATTTATAAAAGTTCAAATTTTCATAATATATTAACAATTATAATATATAAAATAGGAAATTCTTTAAATTCCCTTTCTGGGTCTTCGCCATATCATTTCATATTTTAAAAAGCAAAAAAATAAATAAATCACGCTTTTTGTGCATAAACTTTGTAAAAATATCCAGGAAAGAAGAGCAATCTCCCTCCCTTTGTAATTTCTTTATAAAATTTTAATGGAAAACTAACATCTTTGAAATGTTCTGCCGAGAAATCTTTGCGACTCGTTATATTTATTCAGCATCATCAATATATTCTATGGCTTCGTTATATTCGAAGTTAATAATTTTAGATTTTTGCAGGATCCTACGACTGGAGTGAATAATAACATTTCATATTCAACTCTAAATGTTGTAAGCGAAAAAAAATACAGATTTCGCTTCATCAACGCGTGTGGCGCAGTATGTCCGGTCAGAGTGTCAATTGAGAGTCATTCGATGATGATAATTGCTACAGACGGTGAAGATGTGGAGCCTATAGAAGTAAATGCGATCAACATGGCTTCAGGTAATGTCTACTCGATGCATACTTGATGCTTCATCTAATTGTAAGTCACATAAAAATACCTCCATTATTTTTAATGGTGCATTAAAGAGAACGAGGAGGCAGTTATTTAGAGAATAATATTCTATTATCCCCTTCGGTTAATAAAATAGAATTCTAGATATTTTGACGAATGTTCCATGAATATAGGTGAACGTTTTGATGTTGTGGTATACGCAAATCAAACTCCGGGTCAGTATTGGATAGTAGTAAAAGGACTCGGCGAATGTATAGTTGAGGGTATATATCAATTGGCAATCCTCGACTATGGCAGTTCGTATGTATCGTTATCACCAAAGCCATTATATTCTGATCTACCTGAAAATATTGATAGAACTGTGAGTATACAGAGTGATCCTAACTTTACAATTGCAATATATTGCAGTGTGACAGAGTTTGTCAGATATTAAGTAAAAATTTTCTTAACTCTTCGTATAAGCTTCAATTATGCATCAGCAATTCATTTTTACGTACGAGTATGTAAAAATGTGACGGGAAGAATCGATTTACATAAATAAATCGTTCGACTTCATTATAAATAGTACAGTAAAATTGCATAATGCAAATGTATCTACTGATACAAACTTTTATATATCATTTTTTTATCTTTACTTGATAATGAATTATAGTTGGGCTTACTCAGAGTTGGGAACGTTACTTTAAAAAAGTAATGCGTTACCGTTACCGATACATTTCGTTAAAAATAAACTTGTTACCGTTATTCGTTACTAATTTCAAAAAGTACTTGTTACCGTTACCGTTACTAAGAAAGTAACAGTTCGTTACACACACTTTTTCGTTATTTTTTATAATATTAAAGTAAAATATGTAACTGGTTTTAAAATAAAATTATTATTTTTAAACTTAAATTATTATTTTTAGTGCAGACAATTCATCTAAAAAGAACAAACTATTTAAAACTGCAATAATCCTGACTCGGAAAACTTTTCTTTATGAGCTTGATTCTCTCCCTCTCTCTCTCTTATTTTTTTAATATAATCCACACAAAAATTGTCAGTACAGAGTCAGATGTTGCAATTTGGTTCTTAAAAATTTTTAATAAATTTAATAATAGCTATGCTTAATGTAATATACTTTCTTACAAAAATGAACTATACAACTATTATTAAATTTATTAAAAACTTTTTACAACTAAATTGCAAAATTCTATTTTGTATTAACAATCATTTTTACATGAAGAATAAGATAAAATTATATATTTTTTTCTAATATCGATATATTTCTATCCAATCAACAATACCTAATACACCCTATCAATGTGTGAGCACATCATCAATAAAAATAACGATAAAAGTAACAACTGAATTCGTTATCATTACTGTAAGAATGTAACTGTAAGAGCGTTAACATTATCTGATGAAAAATTTTTCCTACATAATTATATTTTAAATTTGTCCATATATAATTATGTATAATTATATATAAAATCTATAAAATATATATATAAATATATATAAATTCTATAAAATTATATATAATTATATATATAATTATATACATAATTATACGTGATTATATGTAAGTAACATGTATTAATATGCATGAACAAATTATAATACATAATTATATATAATATTGTAAAATTATATATCAATTTATATAATTTTACATAATTATGTATACAAAATTTTTCATTGGGTACCGTGATAAACACAAAAAAGTAACAATTATTAAAAAAATAACGGTAACAGCGTTATAAGTAACGCGTTATTTTCCAACTTTAATCTTACTTTAAAGAACGAAGTCCGTGTATATAATAATTTCTTATTCAATAAAAAAAAGTAATAAAGATGTCTATAAGTAATAAAGATATATGGATATTTGACATAGTTCTACTTGCACACGAGCAGAGCTACGCACTGTGTCAGACATCTTGTATATAGAATTGATATAGTAAGATAAATTAATATTTAATAAACATTTCAGTTTAATCCTCTGAATTCTACGGACTGCGGCACAAATCTCTGTGTGCATCAAACATGCAAGAAAGACATGTCAGACCAGGATAAAAGCTTATTGAATGAAAAAGCGGATATGTCATTAAAACTGTCGTTCGATTTTTTCAATTACACTTTATCACCAGATATGTACAAACTATTTACTACGAACTCACCAGATTACAAAAAATTCTTTGGTAATAGCCATTTAACATATAAAGTCAAGAAGAAAGTTTAAATTGAATTAAAAATAAGACTTTGAAGAAAAATGAAATAATGAAAAAAACGTGTATAAATACACGTCATAAATTGCCGCATTTTCATTCTTGTACAATATAATCTGCAGTAAATATCTTCTTGTGTATCTGTTTTCAGTTGCTATCGATAGATCCCACTTAATAAGTAGGATAAATAACATTTCGTATGTAAACCCGCCAGAAGCTCTTATTTTGGCGACTAGTCCATACAAGTTCTTATGTGAAGATCATTCTATGCCGTCTACATGTACAGAACCCTGCACTTGTACTCATGTTTATAATATTCCACGTGACATAATCGTGGATGTGATGATCTATGACAAAGGTATGATATTTGCAAAACATATGTACACACATATATATATTTTTTAAAAGTAATACAGTTGTGTGTGTGCTCGTATGGATGCGTACGTGTACGCGTACGTGTACGCGCACGCGCGTGTGTGTGCATGCGTGTGTATTATCTATTTAATATATATACACACCTATACACATACATACATACAAGTTGTTCCAAAACCATCAGACAGTACTTTAATAACGTATTCTGATACTGTTTTATTAGTAGAGAGAGAATAAAAAAGTATATATTTAATGTATGTATGTACATATTTTTTATGTGTGTATAAATATCCATAATTTAAATTCCAAAACAATAAGAATATCTAAAGTTAGATACTTGTCTAGAAGATCGTCATTAACTATCGGCTTGGTTATTTTCAGTGATATTATCTCTATATAAATTTAATATTGTGAATTAGCAATTTTAACATGTTGAAATGTAAATAGTAAATTGATAATGTCCTGAATTATATATAAGGATTAATTGTTACGTATCACAGAGCCTTTGCAAGAACTGAATCACCCGTTTCACCTGCACGGCTACAATTTCTGTGTACTGTACTCGGGCCAGTTTCAGAATGCAATTAATAAGAGTTATATAACAGAACAAGATGCAGAATATGAGTTGCAAGTTTATAATCAGCAACATAGCTCTTATAATTGTTGTGCTCCTAAGGATACTGTGATTGTACCAAATACCGGTTATGTCATCTTACGTTTCAAGGCCGATAATCCAGGTTAAAAAATATAGTGTTTATATATATAATATATAATTATACATATATACAGAGTACATATATACAGGATCTTCGATAACTCACGAAGGAGTTGCGGTATATAGATAGATTAGGTCAAACTGAACACAAAATTCCTTTACCATTTTACGAACAATCACGTAAAATTTTGAATTATTAATCCAAGAAGATTCGTGAATGATCACGCGTCATACGGTAGATTAGCTGTGATGGCGACGTTTACCATTGTATGCTTGTATATTAGCCCTGCTTAAAATATTTGATAGAAAATGATTGGATAAGATTGAAATGGATAGAATTCCTATATTGATTTATACGATTTACTATGCACTGAAGCCGTACAACATAGACTTTCTATATATTTTAATCATATTATATAATACTATACTTTTCATCTTGAATATTGATGTTTGTATAATAAATTGATATTTTTGAATCATAGTAAATATCGCTTTATGTATTTATTATTATTTTATGATAAACTACTTATAATATCCTTTCATAATAATTCTACTTATAATAATGGTTACAAAATGGTCAGATAAAAATAAAAAGAATATGTAGTTTAATCATATCTTATGATACTACTCTTTTCCATCATGTTGAATATGAAAGTTATATACTGATTATAAGTATAATCAGTTTATATTTATCAATTATAGACAATACATGGTATATGAATTCACTTACGAAATTTCGTAAATAAGTTGTGAAATATGTGAATCTAATATATAGCACGTGATCATTCACGAATCCTCTTTGATTAACAACTTAGAATTTTACATGGTTGTTTGCAAAATAATAGAGAAATTTTTTGTCCAGTTTGACTTAATCTACTTGTACATCGCGACTCTATAAAGAACACTTTCCGAACATCCTGTATAATATGTATAGGGAGTCTCAGATTCGTCTCCACAACGTTCGTGGGAACATCAAACAAATTGAAGGGAACATAAAAGTCCCATTGTTTTGCGATATTCGCAATAATTCTCGAGATATTAATTGAAGAAGATTGGTAAGTGATCACGCACGATATGATAAATGAGCTGCAGTGGCGATGTGTGCTGTCACATGCTTGTCATTAAATTAAACAAAAAAGTCATTGAACAAAAAAGTCTTTTATCGTTTTGCAAATAACCACATTGATTTTAGTTATTAATGAAAGAAAATTGTTGCATGATGTGCGCAATAATGTACATATTTTCTTTAATTAATATCTAAAACTCTATGTGGTCATTTGCAAAATGGTAGAGGACATTTTTGTTCAGTTGGATCTAATGCATAAATATACAATAGCAGACGACGCCATATAGCGCATAATCATTCACTAATCTTCTTTAATTAACATCTCGAGATTTATTGCGAATATCGCAAAACGGTATGGGACTTCTATGTTCACCTTAATCTGTTCTATATTGCCATGAATATTGCGAAAAAGGAGCTGGGACATCTTATATATAAAGATAATCATAGAGCAAATATGTACACACACATTATTCTCGTGTTTATGTTATATTGCAGGTTGGTGGTTCTTTCATTGTCATTTCAGTTGGCACACCATGGCAGGAATGAATGTTGTTTTTCATGTTGGAAAACCACGTGATTTGCCACCTATACCAACAGATTTTCCAGAATGTCACAACTTTCCGAAAAATATTGACGAAAATAATTAATTTAATTAATTCTACGACAAAGATAAAAATTCGTTTTTTTTTAAACAAAGACATGTTTCTTGGATTTTGATTCCATTTACCGCAATAATAAGCATTATAAGCACATTTGAATTATAATATACTGAGCAGAAAAATATTAATAAAAATAATCAATTAAAATAATTAATATATATTAATATGTATGAAATTACATATTTTATTAGCCGTAATAAAAACAAAATAAAAGAGTAATTAATTTTCTTATATTAACACTTTATGTCAATCTAATTGATTTCACATATTATAGCATTGTCGCGCACATCATGTCGCGCTTGTCGCAAAGAAACAATCGCATTTTAAACATTTTCAATGAAACCCTTGCTAACAGAGTTTGTCCAAAAACATCGCGCACTCTGATTCATCAATCTTTTTTATCGGTATCTTGAAATTTCACATGATTGTTTGCAAAATACCAAATGCCGTTTGTCTTTGTGCTCAGATTGACATGCTCTAATTTCACACATAATTTTGTATGGGTTGCGTTTAGAAATATACACACACTCTGTATACACGAGTAGAATATAAAAATATCTCACACAAAGGAACGTCGTCTTTACATTCTATTAAAAAATTGGTATAACTTCTGAACAAATGGATGTATTGATATATATTGCGGCGAAGTAAACAGTATTCAAACAGGATATTTTTTACCTCTGACGCTACGTGACTTGTAGTAACTGGCAACGCTATTGGAACGAAGGAATAAACAAAAAAAAGAGCTATGTACATCAGCGCAAAATTATGCAATCGCAGAAAAATATTGTTTTGCATGCATTACAATAATAATTGACTTTACGAAGATTTCTTATTATTTCTATCTATATCATTTATTGAAACTCCACTTCAGCTTTGAAGGTCATATCGATCAAACAAATCCGTCAAAGATGAACAAAATTCAATAATATTTATACGTTTTATTCTGTGTTTAAAGATAATTCAGCGTTTCAAAATAAAAGTATAGAGAATAGAGTATTGATTCAATGATTGTGATTAGTAACTATATCAACGCAACTTATTGTTACATTAACACGTAATGTTTTGAATAGGCGTAATATTTCTTTGAAGACGTGTGATCGCCGATTTTGTCGACCAACTACTTGTTCTTTACAGAACATATAAATAAATTAATAAATAAGTAATACAAGCGTTGTACTCTTACATTTACTTGGTCTGGTTCGTTTATAAAAATAATTAACTTGTTGCCCAACCAAAATCGAAATGGAGACGGGTAAATATCCATGAGCAAAGATATACTGTTCAAGAATTCTGAAATTTTTTATACTTCAAAAATATATTACTGTTAAGCAATTGTCTATATTTAATGATATTATAGTTTTTAATAAATCAACGTCAAATAATTTTATTTTAAAATAATATTACATTTTATGGTTTATTTTTATGAGAAGTCCTTAATTATTTTTTTTTAAGTGATTATCACATATCTTCATTGTAAATTGAATTTACTACAGTGAATGATTTGGATGCCAATTTGAACCCCTCTATAATTTTGTGGGAACGTAAGACAGATTGAGGTCAACATAAACGTCTTGCAATATTAAACAAAGTACAAATAAATAATCAATTAAGATAATTAATATATATTAATATGCTTGAAATTACAGCATCATTTTATTAACCGCAGTAAAAACAAAATAAAACAGTAATTATTTTTCTTATATTAACACTTAGCGTTACATATGTCAGTCTAAATAACTTTACATATTGTAACATTTTATACACTACACTGTAATGTATAAAATACTACAATATCCTTATAGAAATATCATACTAAGAATAATTGATAATTACTTATTATCCAGTATTTTTAATACTGAAAATAAGTAATTATCAATGATTCTTAGTATAATATTTCTATAAGGGTATGTAGCTAATATACTATTGTGTATAATGTTAATACACTGTTGATTACCTCTCTTCAATCTGTACTTGCAAAGGATACTTTAAACTTCCCGTAGATAGCGATTCTATGTCATTTCTAAGCCTAGAACAAACAGGTATCTATGTCTAGGTATAGCTTCCGGAATGAACAGGTATCTAGTTTCAAAGTTTAAGTTTGGTTTAAGTTTAAGTTTAAGTTAAGTTTATTTTGACCCAAAGTGACTACGGAGAGTTAACAAAAACCTGCTTTTTGGATTTTGGTTCCATTTACCGCAATAGTGAATCACATTATAAGGATATTTAATTGTAATATGCTGAGTAGAAAAATATAAATAAATATTCAATTAAAATAATTAATATATATTAATATGTATGAAATTACAACACCATTTTATTAACCGTAATAAAAGTAAAATAAAGGAGTAATTATTTTCTTATATTAACGTTTCGCACTACATATATTAATCTAATTGAGTTTACCTATTGTAACATTCTATACAAAATTCTATACAAAACATAATAATTAAGTCTTAAGTAAGATTAAATCAACTAATTGTATTAATAAAAAACTCTATTTCCCCCATTGCTACATTCATACTTTATTATACCATCACTTCCTTTTTTCAATTCTAATTTTTAAAGGTTTCATCGGCACTAACAGAATATCCATCTTCAATTCTACATCTTCTATTTTGACTTTCTTGTCCATTTTTAATATATATGTCCGCAACAGAGTTGCTAGGAGAACTTTCATAGAAGTCATTGCATACCTCATACCTACAATTTTATAGGTTAATTTTATATTTTGTCACAGAACACAACTCTGGTAAAAAAAGTTGATAGAAGACGATTGAGAACGATAGAATTTCTATCAATTTGTATTGTTTTCTATAAGCTCTATCGTTCGCAAGCGTCAGCATTCGCGAGCAGATATAAATCCTATCATATTTTATCTGGTTCTATAAGAATCGGGTTCTATTTGTATTATATAGGAAACTGACGATAGAAATTCTATCATTATCTATTGTATTCTATTATATACGATAGAATACTATTTACATTTGTGAATTCACGAGCCAAAATCCATATTCAAAACGATAAAAAACGATAGAACGATAGAATTTTATTCTATCGTTCTATATAAACTTTTTTTACCAGGGAATTCAGCTCATGTATATTTACCTAAACAGTTCCTTGGACCATTACTAAACGGTATATAACTATATGGATGAATATTTGCCATATTCTCCGGAAGAAATCTATCTGGATCAAATGTCAACGGCTTCGGCCAATAATTTTCATTGCGATGTAAGAATAATATTGATATCATAAAATCAGCGCCCTTCGGTATAGTACATTCTCCTGAAACATATTAATCTGTAAATAAATTAATAATAAATTATAAATCATTATAATAAAATATCAAATGGAGGTCCCATAACACAAGATTTAAAAGATATACCAAAGACATCCAGAGGATTGCTAAATGCCCACTTAAGTCTTTAGAATATCCTAAAAATATCCCGAGAACTTCTAAATTTTCACACAAATCCCCAAGATATCCGTTCAAGATCTTGTACTATATATATATATGAGGAGTAATTGAAATAAAATCATATTTTATTGTCCAGAACGACCAAGTATCCATAATGAACGGAACACTATTACTCACTGTACAATACTTATATATTGCTCCACTACATAATAACGTTATAAGCAAACCTATTTGTAAATCATCATTAAGTCGACGTCCTATGAGAGGCACAACGGGGAAGAGTCTCAATGTTTCCTTAATAACACGCTCCATATAGTTCATATATTGCAAGTCTTCGAACTTGATAGGCGTGGATTTTGGGTCTTGAGTACCATAAATTTCCAGTAACTCCTCGTACACTTTTTGCTATTGCAAAATTATGCATTTATTTATTTCACACACAGAATATTAAAGATAAATCCCCCCAAACAACTATGATATCTGAACCATATCATACCATATCATACCATAAAATGTAAAAAGAAAACAGAGTCTAAACTAAGAAGCTATTACATGTACAATAAATGTACTTTTGTTATATTTTCATACTAATTGAAATTCTGTATCATAAAAATTCTATATCAAAATATCCAAAAAATATCATAAAATATTTCTATATCATAAAATACAAAATTATGTTCAAAATAGTTCAATAAATGTAATACGTACTTGTACTTCTGGGAAATTTGCTAAAATGAACATCGTAAAATTTAGTGTAACTGCGGTTGTGTCGGAACCCTATGTAAACGAAAATTTGCTTTATTAGTCCTATCGGTTTTATCAGTTTTATCAGTAATTTTATTAAAACATTACGGAAACAACATCATGTTACTATAAGTTTCTATAAGTTTTTATAAGTTTTTATAGGTTTCATAATACGTACGGCAAAAGATATGGTATTGATTTCATCGATAATATCCTTTTTAGTAAATTTCTTGCCTTCGTCAGATGCTTCCATTAATAAATCGAGAAACACTTTTCTTGCTATTTTTTTTATTCAAACAGAAATAAGTAAAATAAAAAAAAAAACGCTTTTTTTGGTCAATTAATCACAAGAATTGAATGTGCTGCATGCGTATTTATTTATTCATATTTTTAATAATAAAAATCTACCACTGTATGCACATTCAATGAATGTGATTATGCCTGTCCAAATAACGTGTAGCAAATAAAAGATAGGGGACGTATCCCTTTATTTGTCCATTATTTTAAAATATAACATATAGTATTTTTTCGTGTAATTATTACACATTATAACATTAACTGAATGAATATATCACGTAAAAATATATAAAAGAAATATTGACGATAATAAACTTACGAGGTTTATCAGATTGGTTTTGATTCCCAACTAAATTGTCTCTCGCATTTTCCTTTTGTTCTATTACCTGCATAGTAAAAATTCATATAACATGCAAAGCGTGCAACTTCGTTAGAAAATGTATTTGAAATATTTACCTTTTCCGCGGTAGAATATATAAAATTTAAATGCTTCTGTTGTTCGCGACTTAGAGGAGTAAAATTGAATACGATATCGGGAAATAAAAATATATTTCGTATTCTGTGTAAAATTATCTCTTTTAGCCTAAAATTATACACTAATTATACTAAAATTATACATTGCGATAATCTTGTTAAATAAAATCCATTCTTGAACGCATTATAATTACAAGAATTTAATGTCTGAAGAGAATCATACCTCATTATTGCTTTAACATACATATTATTTTCATTTAATTGTGATCCCAACTTGGTACCCAACGAAGTGTCTTCAAGATTTCGTATGAAAAAGTTAAGTTTATCATTTTTAATATAATATATTTAAAATATATAATAAAATATATGATTTATCATCTTAAATAATAGTTTATATATTTATATTAAAAAGTTTATTATACATACAAGTAATTTCCAAACAAGTCAAAATCGAATAAGCACTTCATCTTACCGTAAATGATGTCCAAAGTACACATTGTTACATGTTGAAAAGGATCTATTTCATCATTTACCATGTGTTCTAATTTCTCCATAAATACTGAAGTTTGTTCCACAAATATATCGCAGAATCCTCGTAATATATTTGTATTAAAGCTTGACGCTATCATTTTTCGATGTCCAAACCATATTTGTGCTGCGGAAAGATTGATATTAAGATAAAATGAAAAAAAAAGTAAGCGCACTTCTTTATCAAATACAATACTATAAATCTGTTAGTGAATCTTCTAAATATTGCATGTTTAAATAACGTATTTTGTAAAAAACATTGTTAGATTTATATTGCATGCACGATGCAACGCATCCTGAAACAAACTTTATTAGATTCATATTGCATACAATGCTTTGTGTTAGTTCCAACATTATTGTTTAACTTTAAAAATGTTGGCTATATTGTAAATGCACAAATAGATTAGCTCATTTAATTTTTTAATAAATTTGTTAAGTTGTGTGCGTGTGCGCGCGCGTGTGTGTGTGTGTGTGTATAACTACATCTGTCGCTATGATTTACTCCCCATGCAACTACGATACTCCCAAAGCATATTTTTGTGTGCAGAAAAATAATTATTACTTCTTCTTAGATTTCATTTCAATACGTTTGAATCGATTATATTAAGTGTGCTTATATAAGCTTACATATATATATATATATATATATATATATTACGTTTACGCAAGCTTACATATCAATTAGAAATTAAAATATTAATAAAAATGTAAAAATGTGTTTTCTAATAAACATTGATTTGAACATAGAAACTACAAGGTATTACTACGGCAGGGATACTGAGATAAATAAATATTATTAATTAATAAAATAGATGCTGTTGCTCAACGTGAGTGTATGTAACTTAAATGCTCTACTTTGTTTTACTAATATAATAAATTATGTCATTGCATCCAACCAACATTGTGTAAAAATATAATGACGTATTTTTTACATATTATATTATTTACAGACGTTACAGATAAGTTTGTTTTTTTACAAGATCTCACCAGGAGCAGTAATAAGTCCCGTTCCTAGCCACGGTCTCAAAGTATCATACAGCACATTTTTATTGAAGCAGCTAGGATGTTGAAGAATTACCTGCAATATATAAAACCTTTTTATACGTTTATATTATCACTTTTTATACGTTTATATTATCACTTGCATAAAACACACACTCATAGTTTTCTTAATTAACGTATATATTAAAAAATGATGCTTGTTGCCAAAAATGATGATAATTTGCTATCAAAAATGATTTATATTATCAAGATAAACAACAACACTGACTTATAATTGTTCGTAATTCATGCATATATAAATGAATTAATGAATAAGTAATGCAAGCGTTGCACTCTTACTTTTATTTGGTCTGGTTCGTTTATAAAAATAATTAACTTGTTGCCCAACCAAAACCGAAATGGAGACGGGTAAATATCCATGAGCGAAGATATACTGTTCAAGAATTCTGAAATTTTTTATACTTCAAAAATATTATATGTTATTGTTAAACAATTATTATTATATGTTAATTGTTATTATATGTTATTGTTAAACAATTTTCTATATTTAATTATATCACATTTTCAAAAAATTAATGTCAAATAATTTTATTTTGAAATAATAACGTTTTATGATTTACTTTCATGAAAAGTCTTGAATTATTTTCTTTTAAGAGATTATCACTCTTCAATAGCTTTATTGTAAATTGAATTTACTACAATGAATGGTTTGGATGCCAATTTGAAACTCTCTGTAATTTTATCAATTTTTACTTTTATCTTTCCAAAATTTGTATTATTCGTCTGTAATATTAACAAATATATAAACGCTAATATTACCGTCAAAATTTCTTTGGAGAAAATAATAACTATTTCCCAAAATTGGTTGCGTTTTCGGACCTGGTAATGCATTTGCCGCTTGAAAGAATTGTAACCGTTTACGATAATCCATAATTAGGTAGATTATACCAATGCATATTAAAATAATTAATATTGCACTTGATATCATGATGTAGTTTAAATGATAATATAACCAATGCGATATAATTCTACGTGCTCAACAAATGATAACTCTGTAACAGACAAATTATGAGCAAAAATGTAGGCTGTCTCACTTAAATTTCCTGAGCTAAGCACATTATTTTCTCACAATATCGTGCACTCTGATTCGACAATTTTCCTTATAAGTATTTTAAAATTTCACTTGATTGTTTGCAAAATGCCAAATTCTGGATCTTCGTACTCAGATTGACACTGTATTTTCACATATAATTTTGTATAGCTTGTGTTGGAAACACACACACACCCTGTATACACGAGGAGAACGCAAAAATATTTTACATATAAAAATATCGTCTTTACATTCTTTAAAAAAATCGATATAAAAATTCTAAACAAATCGATGTACTGATATGTATGGCCGCGAAGCAAATAGCACAATATGCTCCACCTCCTGCTTCACAACTAACAACACTGTTACAACGAAGACTGTTGCAACATCAAAAAACAGGAACTACAAGAGTCAGCGAAAATTATACACATACATAAAAATGTCGTCTTGCATACATTACAATAATAAATGTGCTCGTAAAAACTTGACGTATTATTTTTTCATATATCTGATTACATCATCACTTAAACAAGATTATAGCAATCAAACGTGTCCTTCAAGGACGAGCGAAGATGATTCACGAAGATGATAACAGTGTAGAGAATTTTAGATTTCTCCTATCGTTGATACTTTATTGATTTTAACTTGTATTAACTTTAATGTTAATGTGTTTTTATTGTTTTTGTTATTATTATTAATTTGCATTGTATTTTTATATATTGTGCAATTCCATTTTTTGTATTAAATGTATTATTTGTTACAATTTTATATTGTTAGGACATTGAGTTTTTTGGAGTTTTCCTTAGCTTGTCAAATGTCTGTTTTTGTAAATTTCGTAAATTTCGTTTGTTTTGATAAATCAGCTGCAAAAGTTACTACTATAATCAAATTATAGTAGTATTACTAAATAATACTACTATAATCAAAAAGTATCGGGAATGATTCAGTAAAACGCAAGATTTAAATTTATTCATCAAAATTTACTTCGTCCCCTTCAAAGTAATGCCCTCCCACTATGCCAATGAACTTATGCCAATGTTTTTTCCAATCCTCTAAACATGCTTTAAAGTCGTTTTCGTGAAAACGACTTTATTTTGCTGCGAATTTTCTTTTGTGGCATCAATCGACTCAAAACGGTAACTACAAAGCGAAAATTTTACTGGAGGAAACAAGAAAAAGTCACACAGTACCATATCAAGTATACGTAGCTTGCGAAACCATATTTGTTGAATTTTTTACTAAAAATTCACGAACGTTTTCGGAACGACTCGAGAAGCGACGTGCCGCAAACCTAAATAATCTTTTAAAATTGTTTGACAAGA